CGAGGAAAGGCTTAGGGAAATAAATGAGAGCTTGAGAAGGAAGAATATACATCTAATTGGGATTCCAGAAGAGGCTGAGAGAGAGACAGAGAACCACAAGGTATATTTGAACAAATCATACCTTAGAACTTCCCAAATCTGGAGGAGGAAAGAGGCATTCAGATCTAGGAGATAGAGACGACCGCCCAAAAATCAATAAAACCATTCAACAACTTGACATTTAATAGTGAAACTTGCACATTTTGGAGATAAAGACAAAATGTGCAAAGCAGCAAGAGACAAGAGATTCTTAACTTATATGGAGAGAAACATGAGATTAACAGCAGACTTCTCCACAGAGACCTGGAAGGCCAGAAAGGGTTGGCATGATATATTCAGGGTACTAAATGAGAAGAACATACAGCCAAGAATACTTTATCCAACAAGGCTGTCATTCAGAATGGAAGGAGGAATAAGATCTTCCAGGATATACAATGACACTAATTCCTATCTTTCAATAGTTACGCTGAATGTGAATGGGCTAAATGATCCCATCAAAAGATACAGGGTTTTGGAATGGATAAAAAAGCAAGACCCATCTATTTGCTGTCTACAAGAGACTCATCTGAGACCTAAGGACACCTCCAGCCTGAAAATGAAGGGGTGGAGAACTATTTCCCATTTAAAGAGTCCTCAAAAGAAAGCTGGCATAGCAATCCTCATATCAGATAAATTAGAGTTTATACCAAAGACAGCAGTAAGAGATGAAGAGAGACACTGTATCATACTTAAAGACTGTATCCAACAAGACTTAACAATAGTGAATATTTATGCCCCTAATGTGACAGCTGACAAGTATATGAATTAATAACCAAAGTAAAGAGACACTTTGATAATAATATATTAATAGTAGGAAACTTCAACAGAGTGGTCTCAGCTAAAGACAGATCTTCTACGCAGAAGATCACCAAAGAAACAAGGGCCTTGAATGATACACTGGACCAAACAGACTTCACATATCTACAGAACTTTCCATCCGAATGCAACTAAAATCACATTCTTTTCAAGTGCATATGGCACTTTCTCCAGAATAGACCACATACTGGGTCACAAATCAGGTCTCAACCAATACCAAAATATTGGGACTGTCCCCTACATATATTCAGAGTACAATGTTTTGAAACTAGAACTCAACCACAAGAGGAAATTTGGAAGAACCGCAAACACATGGAGGTTAAAGAGCATCCCGCAGAAAGATGAATGGGTCAACCAGGAAATTAGGAAGAACAAAAAAGATTCATGGAAATTAATGAAAATGAAGATACAACCATTCAAAATCTTTGGGATACAGCAAAAACGGTCCTAAGAGGGAAATATATCACAATACAAGCCTCCTTCGAAAAACTGGAAAAACCACAAATACACAAGCTAACCTTGGACCTAAATGAATTGTAGAAAGAACAGCAAGTAAAACATACACCACGCAAAAGAGATATAATAAAGATTCGAGCAGAATTCAATGAAATACAGACCAGAAGAACTGTAGAATACATCAACAGGGAGGCCTGGGTGGCTCAGTGGTTGTGCATCTGCCTTTGGCTCAGGTCGAGATCCCGGGGTCCTGGGATTGAGCCCCACATCGGTCTCCTTGCATGGAGCCTGCTTCTCCCTCTGTATCTCTGCCTCTCTCTCAGTGTCTCTCATGAATAAATAAGTAAAATCTTACAAAAAAACAAAAAACCCCAACAAAACCAGGAGTTGGTTCTTTGAAAGAATTAATAAGATAGATAAACCATTAGCCAGCCTTATTAAAAAGAACACAGAAAAATTCAAATTAATAAAATCACAAACAAAAGAGGAGAGATCACAACCAATACCAAGGAAATAAAAACGATTTTAAAAACATTATTAGCAGGTACATGCCAACAAATTGGGCAATCTAGAAGAAATGGATCCATTTATGGAAAACCAGAAATTACCAAAATTGGAACAGGATGAAATAGAAAACCTGAACAGAACAATAACCAGGGAGGAATTGAAGCAGTCATCAAAAATCTCCCAAGATACAAAGGTCCAGAGTCAGATGGCCTCCCAGGGAATTCTATCAAACTTTTAAAGAAGAAACAATACCTATTCTACTGATGATGTTCTGAAGGATACAAAGGGACACGATACTTTCAAACTCATGAGGCCAGCATCTCCAAAACCAAAGACCCCACCAAAAAGGAGAATTATAGACCAATATCCCTGATGAACACAGATCCAAAAATTCTCAGCAAGATACTAGCCAATAGGATCCAACAATACATTAAGAAGATTATTCACCATGACCAAGTGGGATTTACCCCTGGGATACAAAAGTGGTTCAACACTCCTAAAACAATCAACATGACAGATCACATCAACAAGAGAAAAAAACAAGAACCATATGATCCTCTCAATAGATACAGAGAAAGCATTTGACAAAATACGGCATCCGTTCCTGATCAAAACTCTTCAGGGTGTAGGGATAGAGGATGCTAACATTCCTTAGCATCTTAAAAGCCATCTACGAAAAGCCCACAGCAAATATATTCTCAATGGGGAAACACTGGGAGCCTTTCCCCTAAGATCAGGAACAAGACAGGGATGTCCACTCTCACCACTGCTATTCAACATATGACTGGGAAGTCCTAGCCTCAGCAATCAGGCAACAAAAAGAAATAAAAGGCATTCAAATTGGCAAAGAGGAAGTCAAATTCTCCCTCTTCTTAGATATGTTACTCTACATAGAAAACCCAAAAGATTCCACCCCAAGACTGTTAGAACTCATACAGCAATTCAGCAATGTGGCAGGATACAAAATCAATGCCCAGAAGTCAGTGGCATTTCTATACACTAACAATGAGACTGAAGAAAGAGAAATTAAGGAGTCAATCCCATTTACAATTGCACCCAAAAGCATAAGATACCTAGGAGTAAACCTAACCAAAAAGGTAAAGGATCTATACCCTAGAAACTACAGAACACTTCTGAAAGAAATTGAGGAAGACACAAAGAGATGGGAAAAAATTCCATGCTCATGGATTGGAAGAAATAATATTGTGAAAATGTCAATGTTACCCAGGGCAATTTACACATTTAATGCAATCCCTATCAAAATACCTTGGACTTTCTTCAGAGAGTGAGAACAAATTATTTTAAGATTTGTGTGGAATCAGAAAAGACCCCAAATCGCCAGGGGAATATAAAAAAAGAAAACCATATCTGGGGGCATCACAATGCCAGATTTCAGGTTGTTCTACAAAGCTGTGATCATCAAGACAGTGTGGTACTGGCACAAAAACAGACACATAGATCAATGGAACAGAATAGAGAATCCAGAAGTGGATCCTCAACTCTATGGTCAACTAATATTTGACAAAGCAGGAAAGACTATCCACTGGAAAAAGGACAGTCTCTTCAATAAATGGTGCTGGGAAAATTGGACATCCACATGCAGAAGAATGAAACTAGACCATTCTCTTACACCATACACAAAGATAAACTGAAAAGGATGAAAGCTCTAATGTGAGACAAGAATCCATCAAAATCCTAGGGGAGAACAAAGGCAACATCCTTTTTAAACTTGGCTACAGCAACTTCTTTTAATACACATTTATGAAGGCAAAGGAAACAAAAGCAAAAGTGAATTATTGGGACTTGATCAAGATAAAAAGCTTCTGCACAGCAAAAGAAACAGTCAACAAAACTCAAAGACAACCTACAGAATGGGAGAAGATTATTTGCAAATGATAAAGGGCTAGTATCAAGATCTATAAAGAACTTATTAAACTCAACACCCATGAAACAAACAATCCAATCACAAAATGGGCAGAAGACATGAACAGAAATTTCACTAAAGACATAGACATGACCAACAAGCACATGAGAAAATGCTCCACATCCCTTGCCATCAGGGAAATACACATTAAAACCACAATGAGGTAACCACCCTCACACCAGTGAGAATGGCTAAAATTAACAAGACAGGAAACAACAAATGTTGGAGAGGATGCGGAGAAAGGGGAGACCTGTTGCCTTGTTGGTGGGTTGTGAAGTGTTGTCACCACTCTGGAAAACCATGTGGAGGTTCCTCAAAGAGTTAAAAAAGGAGTTACTCTATGACCCAGCAATTGCACTACTGGGTGTTTACCCCAAAGATACAGATGCAGTGAATCGCTGGGACTCCTGCACCCCAATGTTCACAGCAGCACTTCCCACAATAGCAAAACTCTGGAAGGAGCCTCGATGTCCATTGAAAGATGGATACAGAAGATGTGGTCTATATACAGAATGGAATATTATTCAGCCATCAGAAAGGATGAATACCCACCATCTGCTTCAATGTGGATGGAACTGGAGGGTATTATCCTAAGTGAAGTAAGTCAATTGGAGAAGGACAAACATATGGTTTCAGTCATGCGGGGAATACATGAATTAGTGAAAGGGATTATAAAGGAAAGGAGGGAAAATGAGTGGGAAAATTTAGAAAAGTGACACAACATGAGACTGCTATCTCTGGGAAACGAACAAGAGGTAGTGGAAGGGCAGGCGGGCAGGTGGATGGGATGACTGGGTGAGGGGCACTGAGGGGGGCACTTGATGGGCTGAGCACTGGGTGTTATACTATGTGTTGGTAAGTCGAACCTATAGAAACAAATGTAAAAAAAACAAAAACAAACAAACAAACTTAAAAGACCAAAGAAAGAAAAAGAAAACAACACATGTGACCACAAAATGCTTACCAATTCAGAATAAAGCATACATAGGAAGTTGCAGATAGGATTGATGAAATATAGAACCAAGGTGAAGTGAGAATGATATACAGATGAAAGGAGAGAATATGGTGTGTGCGTTAGTGATTACTGGCATTTGGTTTCTTTATACCCAGAAGTATAAATGATTAACATGAGTTGGTTCTATTGCTTAAAAGTAGAAAGTAAGGATTAAAGGTGATTGTTTTCCCTTAAAGTAAAAAATGAAACAGAACATTCTCATACCTGGTAGCAGTGAAGAGTCATCTTGGGGAATAGGTAGTAAAGGACATTCTGAAAGGGAGGCTGAGAGATTTTCTGAAGCTAAAGGGACAGACAATGGCTGGAAGGGAGTCATTAATAGAATTAGTTTATTAGACTAGTCTGGCCAAGCATCATAAACACAAGATCCAGAAGAGAAAATCTATTTAGTTTTATTTGTTCTTTAAACACTCTATAGGAGCTGTTACAATAATGATTGGCATGTTTAACAATTTGCCAATAAGTGGCTAAGGTAAGACAAAAATTATTTTGGCTGATGCCTTCTTTAAAAACTCTTGATGGGACGCTTGGGTGGCCCAGGGTGTGATCCTGGGATCTTGGGATCCAGTCCCACATCAGGCTCCCTGCATGGAGCCCGCTTTTCCCTCTGCCTGTGTCTCTGCCTCTGTGTGTCTCTCATGAATGAATAAATAAAATCTTTAAAACAAAACAAAACCAAAAAAAAAAAAAAAAAAAAAAACTCTTGCTAAAATATGTCCTAGGAGGACATCATTGAGTGCACCACTGCTGAAGTAACAACAAACTGGAAACAACCTGAATGGCTCTGAATAGATCGAAAAAATTAAGGAACATTAAAAACATGCAAACGATATGCGGTGCACTACCACAGTGCTGCTTCTTGTTTTTTTTTTATTTTTTTTTAATTTTTTAAAATTTTTATTTATTTATGATAGTCACACACAGAGAGAGAGAGAGAGAGGCAGAGACACAGGCAGAGGGAGAAGCAGGCTCCATGCACCGGGAGCCCGACGTGGGATTCGATCCCGGGTCTCCAGGATCGCGCCCTGGGCCAAAGGCAGGCGCCAAACCGCTGCGCCACCCAGGGATCCCTGCTTCTTGTTTTTTAAGCTCCTTGTGTGGTGATGATCCTTTACAATACAGGGGAAGAAGGACCAGAGGAGATAGACTTCTGGAGAGTATTCTGCCACCTGTGTGAAAATAGGGGAACTGACTGTATTCAATAGACCAGTATTCGCATAAAAAACTAGACGGGGAGCCTGGATGATTCAGGGTGTTCAGAGTTAAGTCAGTCTTTGGCTCCGGTCATGATCCCTGGGTCCTGGGGTCCAGGGTCCTGGGATCAAGCTGCACATAAGGCTCTCTGCTCCTCACGGAGCCGGCCTCTCCCTCTCCCTCTATCCCTCTCTCTCATGAATTAATAAATAAAACCTTAAAAAAACAAAAAACAAAAGAAAAAACTGGATGGCTACATTCTCACGAAGGTGATTATCTAGGGGCTTGGGCATGGGAAGGGGCTCAGCGGCAGCGAACTCTGTCACTGACGCCTGCTTATATTTTAAGCACCTGAACCACGTGAATATTAACCGTTTCCTTAAAACCAACAAAACCAAACCTTCGTGTTCTCAAAAAGGAAGCGGCCCGCGGCCCCCAGCCCGCACACCTCAGGGCACTGGCGCCCACCGTCCGCACCCGAGGACATCCGCCCGTCCTCCTCGGCGCCCCCCCCGCAGGTGCGCACGCGGCCCGGAGGGCGCTCCAGGGCTCCATCGGCACCCGGGCAGGAGCCTGTCACGTCACCCCCAGGGTCCCTCTAACGCTCCGCACTCTCGGGTCCCGGGGCCAAGCTTCACTACGAGGGGCACGCTCGGGCGAGGACTCGAAAGCCCTCGGGGCTCGGTTCCCCGTCGGCCCGAGACAGCAGCGAACAGTGCAGAGCAGAGCGCCAAAAGCCAGGCCTCGGCCTTCGTCCGGACGCTGGGCAGCTCCTACCCGGCCCAGCCGCTCGCGCCTCCAGAGCCGGGGCCCACAGACACACCGGCCGGTTCCAGGGCACGCCCCACACCCGCTCCGCTCCCCCGGAACCTGCCTCCCGAAGCGCGGAGGGGGAGGGGGACGCTTCCCCGCAGATCCCGCCCGAGACCCGAGGGGCAGCCAAGACCTGGCCGCTCAGGGAAGGGCGTGGCAGGCGAGGGCCGGGGCCGGGCGGGGGCGGGAGCGCGGGCAGCCGCGGACTCACGTACTGGCTGTGGCGCTGGCGCGGAAGCCCGGCCGCCGGCGGGACAAAAGCGCGGACGGCCCGGCCGGAAGGGCCCGCGCCAACTCCCGCGCCAACTCCCGGGTACTTCCGAGTCCTCTCTGGGAGGCGGGAGGACGGACTCGATGATGTTTTCCCGTCCAGGCACGTGACCCGAGGTGCGCTCGGAGGGCTTGGGAGGCGGGGAGGCTGGCGTGCGGGCTGATTACCGAGCGCCGGCCGGCGAGCGCGCGGGGGACTTCGGGCGGGAGGGTGCGGGCGAAGCTCCTGAGTGGGGCGTTCAGTGAGGCAAATGAGCCGCGAGGAAGAATGAACCCCGGACGACCTCTGTACCTAAAACCTAAACCCGGAGCACTTTTCGGCCTGAGCCTGCGGGGAAGCCCGCGGGCGGAGGCGAAGCGGAGCTGGGGCCTGCAGGCCTGGTCCGCCCCCGCCCTGGGCGAGCGCGGCGGCCGGGGAGCCCCAGCCCGCGGGGGCGGCGGGAGCGCGGGGCGGGGCGGGGGCGCCGCGGGGGCCGGGCGGCATCCCCCGGACGCGGCCCCGAGCCCTGGCCTGAAAGGACTTGAAACAGTGGCCCCTCTTTTTGTTATTGTTTTTGTTTTTTTTATTTTTTTATTTATTTATGATAGTCACACACACACACACACACAGAGAGAGAGAGGCAGAGACACAGGCAGAGGGAGAAGCAGGCTCCATGCACCGGGAGCCCGACGTGGGATTCGAGCCCGGGTCTCCAGGATCGCGCCCTGGGCCAAAGGCAGGCGCCAAACCGCGGCGCCACCCAGGGATCCCCGGCCCCTCTTTTTGAAGTAACATCTAAATGTGTTTCCTCTTAAGTTTAAGTAATTGCAAAGAACATAATTTGGCACATTGTGAATGCCGGCACTTAAAGAACAAAATCGCTTATTTCAGATGTCTACAACGGACTCCAAACCCACGATAATTTAATATTATCGTTGACTTTTAACTAATTTTACATCATTTCGGCTTTTTCCTTGAATCTTTTTATTTTATATCTCTCACAGGATTTGTATCTTAACCTGAAATGTTTTCATTCTCACTGAATGTTTAACGGAAAATAGTTCTGTAAGTTTTGTTGTTTACTGTAGCATACATCTCTAGTGGAATTCAAAGTTTACGTTTTTTCCTCCCTCAAATGTTCTTTTCTCAATTATTAATAGAATTATGTATATTGCTAAATTTTCATATCAGTTTTTAAGAGGTGAAATGTTTGGAAGTAAACTTTTAATGAGATGAATTTTTTAAAAACAGTTCAAGTTATCAAAGTGTTTGGATGAATTTCACTTCTGGCTGGAGTGGACCCATGTTCGTCAATTCTATGTCTAATTTTCATTTTTTATATGTATAGATGCAAGGTAAATACAGGGAATAGAAGGGCTTTCCTTGCAGCAATGGATTATTGATTACATTCAGCTCCATGTCAGAACTGCATGCGTCTCAGTGTGAGTCTGAGCCCTTGGGACGTGTGTGTGTGTGTGTGTGTGTGTTCTGTGTTGGAGGAGACCCGGGACAATTGGGAGACACCAGAAAGGAGCAGAGACCCAAGCCCTTCTCAAGCCCTGCCGTTTTAGGCAAAAGCACATGCAGGGATTGGAGGCTGGGAGTGGATCCCTGTAGAGCTACCCCAACAGGTACCTTGGCCAACATGTAGTTGTATGGAGCACTTGAGATGTGACTAGTGCAGCTGAGGATCTAAGTTTTTAATTACATTTTATTTAAAGAGGCACATGTAAGAGCGCTTGAGTGTCCCTAAAGCATGGGACTCTTGGTCAGTGCTGGGGTCATGATCTCAGGGTTCTGAGCTGGAGCCCTGAGTGATGCTTCCACTCTCCCTCTCACCTGTGTTCCTCCCTGACACTGGTGCATCCTCTCTCTCTCTCTCTCTCTCTCAATAAATAAATCTTAAATAAATAAATGAGCACATGTAGCTACTGCCCTCCATATTGGATAGCACATGTTGCTTCAGGTAGTCCTCGCCATGCTGCCAGAAAAATTCACGTGATTAAAAGTTGTGGGTTGGCCATGGGGGGCAGGGAAGATGGTTTTTCACTCAGTGAAAGGTTGTATGCATGTAGGAGAAATCATTAGGAAGCCACATAAAATAACTAAAATGATTTTTATTTTAGGTGGTAGTTTTTCCTCCATGAGGTTGGTCATACTTCAGGCACCTTTTGTTTGGCCTGTGTCTACATACACATGCTAGGTTTTCCAATACCTGTCTTTTCTGGATATCTACAAATCAGAGCAGAGCATCTAGCCTGCCACTGATCAGTATGAAAGCCATTATTTATATATGGGTGTTAAGCACGTGAAATGTGCCTGGTCTAAATTGAGATGTGCTGTGAATATAAAATCCACATCTGATATCTAAGACTTGGTAGGAAAAGAGAATGTAAAATAATATTTTAAAATGTTGATTACATGTCGAATAATATTTTGGTTTTATAGGGTTAAATATAATTTTTAAAAGATTTTATTTATTTATTCATGAGACATGGGGGGGGGGGGCAGGGACACAGGCAGAGGGAGAAGCAGGCTCCATGCTGGGAGCCTGATGTGGGACTGGATCCTGGGTCTCCAGGATCATGCCCTGGGCCGAAGGCAGGCGCCAAACAGCTGAGCCACCCAGGGATCCCGAAATAAAATATCATTAAAATGAATTTCACCTGTTTCTTTTTATTTCATTTACCAAAAAATCAGAAATCATTTATAGGGTTCACATTACATTCTATTAGTGCAGCTGTAAGAGTCCACAGGTACAGCAATAACATTGTCCTGAATTTGCTCTTGCTTTGGAGTTCATCTACTTCCTCTAAATTAGTTCAAATACAGAATAATGTAAAGCCCCAAAAAGGCTTAACTGCAACTCCACTTTTAGTCTTTGAATTTGGTCATGAATTATTAAAATAAAAGTCTCCCTCCCACTATAGCATATATATCAAGCTCAATATGTAAAATTTGGAAAAGAAAGAAAAAATTAAGAAAACTAACCACTTTTAATCCTGTTACCTAGTGACAGCTACTGTTAACATCTAAATAAACTTCCTTTTCTATTACCAATTTGCAGATGCTTTTCAGATGGTTGTAATAGCACTATATCTGCAATTTTTATATGCTGTATAAATAAATACTATAATAAATAGTGTATAAAGACTTTTTCCTTGCTTTCCTTGGAACAGTTGGCAAGAAGAATAGAGAATCAGACAAGGATGTAACCCATCACTATCATTATTTCCTACTGCAGCTGGATAAAGGGAAAAAAAAGCAGACTATAAATAATGAAAAGCAAGAATATAACCTATTTGTAGGTAAAAGGATTTTATTTATGGAAAGCCCGTGACACTCATGAAAAAAAAAAAAACTCTAAACAATAAAAAAAATTCGTAAGAGGTGTTGGTTTCAAAATTATCATAAATCAGGGATCCCTGGGTGGCGCAGCGGTTTGGCGCCTGCCTTTGGCCCAGGGCGCGATCCTGGAGACCCAGAATCGAATTCCACATCGGGCTCCCGGTGCATGGAGCCTGCTTCTCCCTCTGCCTGTGTCTCTGCCTCTCTCTCTCTCTCTGTGTGTGTGTGTAACTATCATAAATAAATAAAAAAATAAAATAAAAACAAAATTATCATAAATCAATATTCAATATTTTCCTTTTGTACAAACTATAATTAAAATAATGAAAGGAAAGAA